CAAGAGGGCCCCAAGAGGTGGCCAGGAAGCCCCAAGAGGCCCTCAGGATGCCCCCAGGAGGCTCCCAAGAGACCCCCAAGAGGCCCCAAGAGAACCCCCAGAGGCACCCAAGATGCTCTAAGAGGCCTCGGCGATAATGCCAAATCATTGATCTCAGTAAGGTTTTAGCCACATGTTGGCCTCTTTTTTTGGGGGGGCACTGGTTAAGATGACTCCAAGAGCGCCTGGGGGAGCCCAAGATGACCTCCAAGATGGCTCAAGATATCCCAAGATGTCTCATAATGGTTCCCACGATGCTCCAATATGCCCGAACCAAGACCGCTCCAAAACAGCTCCAAGTGGCAAAAGAGCTCCTCCAGGAGGCCCCGAAGAGGCCAAAACCTTAGGAAACTCTATGTGCTTGGCTTTCTCGCCTTTGCGCTTCCGATGGCCATCCGAGGCCTCAAGATGGCTCCAAGATGGCCCAAGAGAGCCCCACGAGATGCTGAAGAGAGCCCCAAGATGGCCCCAAGAGCGCCTAAGAGCGCTCCAAGAGCGCCCCAAGAGCGCCCCAGGAGGCGATTTGTTGGGCTCCCGAGGGGCAACGCTAACTAATGCTCGCTTCTTGTTTGATCGATGTCCTCCAAGATGGCCCCAAGAGCGCTCCCAAGGCTCCCAAGAGCGCTTCAAGAGGGCCCCGAGAGGCGCCCAGGAGGCCTCAACAGGCGCCCAAGAGGCCTCCAAGAGGCTCCCAAGAGACCCCCAAGAGGCCCAAAGAAGCTCTCCGAGGCACCCAAGGCGCTCCAATAGGCCTCCACTGGGGGACCCTTCCTCTGTGTGCTGCCCACTTCCCTGATCGAGGCAATTCCTCTGGGCATCGTTTCTGGGTGGGGTGGTGGGGTTACTAGTTCGGTCGCGGCCGCGCGACAACGGTCTGGCGGCGAGAGGCAAAGTCCGGGGCAAGCGGCACGATGCGAATTTGCGAACACAACCGCCACGTTGGCAAGCCGGTTCGCACCTGCAGTGGTGGGGTTACGCGAAGCGTCTAGAATTTATGATTCTGAAGCTTAAACATTGACCGTTTTTTTTCACACATGGAGGGCGGGTCGTCTTCAAAATGTGGCTCTCGCCTTAGCGCCGTGCGCATTCGTTTTAAGAAATTGCAAGAGCTTCACGGATTGAGGGCGGGTGGTATTCTAAATGTGGCTCTCGCCCAAGCGCGGCGCGCATTGATTTTAAACAGTTGCAAGAATTTCACGGATGGAGGGCCGGTGGATTTAAAAATGTGGCTCTCGCCTTAGCGCGGCGCACCTTCGTTTCCAACATTTGCGAGAGTTTCACGGATTGAGGGCGGGTCGTTTCAAACTTGCGGCTCTGACCTTAGCGCGGCGCACATTCGTTTCAAACATCTGCAAGAGTTTCACGGATTGAGGGCGGTTCCTTTTCAACATGTGGCGCTCGCCTTAGCGCGGCGCACATTCATTTTAAACATTTGCCAGAGTTTCAACGTGCCAGAAATTTCGTTCTGAACGGATTCACGATTATGCGGGTGCTACAATTATGTTGGTTCGCTGTCTTGACGTCCCAGAAATAGCGTTATGGTACGATTCCGTAATGTCAATACCCAACAGTCAGGTTGATCCGTTGCGGTGGAATCCCGAGAACAATGTTTTGGCGTGCTTCAGAATCTTCAAACGGTTGTCTTCCAAAGAGGCAATTCTTTCAATGGACATGAACCGTTGTAGGGGCCTATGAAGAGGGAGCTTGGAGGGAGGGTTTAATTCCAACATCGTTGATGACTCTTGGGTTTACACTGGTCCTCCTCCTCCTCCTGCTCCTCCTGCTCCTCCTGCTCCTCCTCCTCCTCCTCCTCCTCCTCCTCCTCCATCTCATCCTCTCTCCTCCTCCTCCTCCTCCTCCTCCTCCTCCTCCACCTCCTTTTTCTCTATGTCGTCCTTCTCTTCCTCCTCTTCCTCATATTTCTCCGACTCCCTCCCCCCTCCTCCCCCTTCTCCTCTATAATGTCCTTTTCCTCTTCTCCTCCGTCTGCGCCTTCTCCTCCTTCTCCTCCTCCCTCCTCCACCTCCTCCACCACCTCCACCTCCACCTCCACCTCCAACTCCACCTGCACCCCCTCCTCCTCCTCCTCCTCCTCTCCTCCCTCCTCCTCCTCCTCCTCCTCCTCCTCCTCCTCCTCCTGCTGCTCCTCCTCCTCCTGCTCCTGCTCCTCCTCCTCCTTCCTCCTCCTCCTCCTCTCTCCTCCTCCTCCTCCTCCTCCCCTCCTCCTCCTCCCTCCTCCTCCTCCTCCTCCTCCTCCTCCTCCTCCTCCTCCTCCTCCCCCCGCCCCTCCCCCCGCCCCACCCCCGCCCCCCTCCGCCACCCCCTTCCGCCCTCCCCCACCCCAAGGTGGCTTGCAAGGCAATCCTGGGCTGGGCGCAGCTGACCAGCTCGCGGCGCTGCCGACGGGCGGGCCCGCAGCGCCCCTGGCACGCTGCTGCATGTCCTGCAGCTGGACCTGCACCTGCCGGGCAGCGCGACCCCCGCAGGCAAACGGGGGCGAGGCCTTCTCCTCATCACTCCCTTCCTCGTTCTCTCGAAGATTCCGAAAGGCGTGGTTTTCGGGGGCCCCCAGACGGGATGGTGACCACACCGTGTGGTGAGTCAGTGGGGATTCGGGGTCACCGCACGGTTTTGGGACTCGGATCGTTCTCCGAGGGCGTCTCGGGTGACTGGGGCATCCGAGGTCCCATGAGCGTGCGTTGACGGACCGTGCGGTGAGGTCTTGGGGGATTTCGAGGTCACCGCACGGTCTGTCACCGCACAATTTTGGGACTCCACAGGCTTGCAAAAGGTGTGGTTTGCAGCCCGCACTCTTGGGGGCGCCCTGGAGGGTGGGCGAGACCCTCAACGGAGCTCTCCGCCGCGCCCCGGGAGGCCCGACGAGGACGGCGGAGTGCGCCCCAGGCCCCAACAGCGCCGATCGCAAACCACACCCAGGCGCAACCACACCCTTTGTGCTCGCCGATTCTCCTCCAGGGGCACGCGAAGTCTATTTCCCTGGGCGCTGTCGCAGCCCCAGCTGGCGCAGCCACGTCGCCGCCCAAACTCCTCGCCCTCCTCGTTGTCGCGCTCCGCGCCGCGCGCGAGCGCGGAACGCGGCTGTCCGCGCGCCCTCGCGCCACCACCGCAGAGAAGGGCAACCCTCCCGCCTGGGCTCCCGAAACGCAGAGTGTGCTCATGGCTCGGGGGGCAAACTGTGAGGGGGACACCACATCAGGGGGGGACATCGACATGGAATGGGCGATGCATTTAGGTCGGGCATGCCCCCCTACAGGCGGATTTCCAAAGAAAACTCCAAACATACGAGAAACATATTCAAACATAGTCAGAAAATAACGAAAAATCGTCCACATACTATTTTTCGACTATTTTTGAATACTCTTTCTGTCGAGGGACGTGCCCGACTTAACGACACATGGACGATGGAGCGGCGATAGATCGGCTCCTGGGCGGCACGGGCTCTCTCGGACACACATCGGCGAAGAGTGGTGGGAGATTTTGGGGGTCGATACGTCCCCCCTGAACCTCCCCGAGCGTCGCCCCTGATCCTCAGGATTCCCTACGGATTCCTTGGGATTTCCGAAGGATTCCTAGGGATTCTTTGAGACCTACTACCCTCGTCAAAATGAACCTCAAAGATGGCGAACACGCCCCTGCGATGTCGGCGCGCCCTTTTATGTCGATAGACGCCCCTCCAACGTCGGGACCAAGGCAAAGGTGGTCTGACAGGGAAGAACTCGGAAGTTCGATGATGACCGACCTTGGAGGAGCGGCGCATGATTACAAGTACCTCGCAGTCATCGCTAGGTACTCTGTCCAGTATCTCCCCAAACACTTCAGCCACGTGAGACATGTTTGAGGTCAATTCTGACGAGGGTTGTAGGATTCCCGAAGGAATCCTCAGGAACACTAAAAGTCCCGGCGGGTGCCATGGGCGGCCATTACTACTGGGCGCGCGTTGGGAATTATCACTGCACCGACCTTGCAGACGTGCTGCAACGGATTTTCGCGTAGATTTTTGCCACTGCACAACCCCGAAACGGCGAGCGAAAAACGACGTGAATTTCGCGTGGATTTGGTGTTAGTCTTCATCCCTGGCCACAAACAACCCCGCACGAAATCCACTCCGCAATCCGGAACGAGATTCTCCAGGACACTCCGGGCCCATCCTATCGTTTGCCGAACGAACTACGCTCTGCCATGTTGGCGCAATGAGAATTACTCTTCGCGCCCCAGAGCGTTGACCTGCGGGACGGTGCCAGTTCGTCCCTGCGCCCGCGCGGGCCCTCCGAGGTGCAGCGACTGGGGGCCCACGCATGGGGGGCCTCCGTTCGGAGTCCAGAGGCAGGACCGAACCACGCGTCCCGCGCGCGCACGAGTACACATATTGTTTTGTGTGTGTGCGTATATATATATATATATATATATATATATATATATATCGCGGACCTTGCCCATGTCCGCTGCCGTCGGGCCCACGCATTGCCTTCCACATGGGCGCACGTTTACAAAAGGGGGTGTCAACGATGAACAATCGCTGCTGCTAGTAATACAGCCACGGGCGATACTGTTGCTGTCAACACTGAACTGACGTTACACGTGCACGCGCTTGCCAACAACAAGCATCTATTGCCAAACATTCCTGCGCCCGCGCATGATGGATATTATCGATTACAAACGTTTACCTATTCCACCTGCTGAACCGGACGAAGCATGGGCACCCTATTGGACAAAATACGAGCGACGGAACTCAGTGTAGAGGATCGCGCATCATCGCCGCGAGAGTTGCGTCATCACCATCGCCGCAATTGTTGTCGACGTCGTCAACGCGTCCACAGCGAGCCATCCGAAACCAAGTAAGCCCACTCCAAATTAACACATTCCGATGCCGAGTGCCACGCATCGCCCGTGCAGTTCGGCTCTATCGCAGGCACCGCAAGCAATTGCTTCTTCGGCGCAGGCGCTAGGCATGGCAAGGCGCAGGCGCCGCACGCACGTAAAAATAATCGAGTGATCGCCTGCGCATCCCCGGCGCCCGCGCAACGCAACCACAGGCAGTGTGCTTTTGTGACTGCGCGGCCACTGCGCGTGGCAGGGCGCAGACGCTGCAAGCGCGCGAACGATCCGGGCGCAGGCACGGCATGCGCACCCTGGCGGCCGCGCAGGAGCTTCAGGCACTTAATATTATCTCGTCTGCGCACGCATTAACTGGGGAACCATAAAAGGTACCGATGCCGCTAACCCCCTGGACCTCCCCCGGGGTGCGTTCTGACCAGAATTTCGAGGCGAATCCAGCGGTGGCGACGAAGGCCTCCCAGGAGGCCCAAAAAGGGGAAACCGGCCGAAGGGGTGGTATGGGTACCTTTTCCTCCTCTGCGATTCAGGCATTTAATTTTGTCTGCACACGCATCAACCGTGGCAAAGCGCAGGCGCCGCGGGCACGCCGAGGAGGAGGAGGAGGAGTATCGGAGCGCCGCTGCCTTATCGCAGGCACCGCTGGCTCTGGTCTTTATTTTGCGCAGGCGCACGCGCGTGGCGCGGCGCAAGCACCGCGGGCACACGCCGAACAACATGGGCGCACGCCTGTGCATCCTGACGCGAGGGCAGACACCGCAGGCAATGGTTTACATACATAAGGACAGGCATGTCACCTCGCTGGGGGCTGTAGATTGTAACGGAAAATGGGACGGGGGGCGAGCAGGGGGCGGCGGGGAGAGGGAGGGGGGGGGGGTCGCGCATCTCTAGCACCGAATCAAAAGCATTATCCCAAGCGAGGCTGTGCCGCCCGTCGCTGGAATGGGCGCCGATGCGTGGGCAGCACCGAAGATAGGGAAGCGCCTCGCGGCGACATGATCCAAGTACGACATGTAACAGACCAATCTACAATTCAAGACTATTCACATAACATCTGGTGAGACGAGATGGTCCAACATTTGGTCGTAACCATATGTGTGTGTGTGTGCAATGTACGCGTGGATGACACGCGTTGTCCACCACATGCTTAGAGAACTCATGGTAAGGCATGCTAAGATATGGCAACACGTGCATACAGGACCCGCGCTAAGATAACTGGTGTGCACACATCACATTTGTGTGGGTCCTATGGTGTACGACATGTTACCCCAAACAACAATATACGTACACACAAAATGTTGCAACCTGGCTGGCTGATACAATGCATGATTGCGGCAGGCAACATCTATTGCACGAAGTTGCACTGGTGCGTGTTAGCACCATGCATTTCAAACAAACGCGGCCACAGTTCCAAGCATGAAGTAGGAAAGCGCCTTTCGTATGGAGGAGGATGCTCCGTTCCAGACGTCCTCCCCCCCCTCCCCCCCCGCATGTTGCGGATGTCTTTGAAGATTGGGGCCTTTGGAGGTTCCCCCCTCCTCTTGGGGTCCCCCCCAACAGGAAACCCACACGTCTGGCCGCATGTAACGCGACGCCGCCGGGTGTTTTTTGACGATGCGTCATCGTTGAGCGGCCTCTGCGAATTTGAGAGGCGCGTTGGGTACTCTTCGTTGACCAGCCCCCCTCAAAATTGACAGGCGCGCTGGGCTCTGGGCTGGATGTCTCCCCCCGTGCCCCTCGATGCACGGGCTTCAAGTTTGGAGGGCAAGGTCAAGCTCCCCGCGGTGCGGCTTCAATCTTGTCTCGTTGATTGCGACGGGACTTGTAGCATCTCATAACCCCACAGCATCTCCCCCACTTCCTTCCCCCCCCTGCCCCGCGTCCCTCCCTCACAAGACCCGTCAGGATCAAGACCGGCCCCCAGACCCCTCCCGAAGGCCCACGAGAGGGATCTCGGTCGCTCGCCGCTGCTTTGCTCTGCCACGATCCTTCGCAATCCGTAGGCCCGCAAGAAGAGGAGGAGGAGGACGAGGACGAGGACGAGGAGGAAGATCCCCCCCTCACCTTCTCCCTCGTCGCTCTGAGGCACAGCCTGCGGGACCCCTTGTGCGTGCCCCCCGCGCCAACGAGAGGCTCCCCCCTCCAGCCGGCCTCCCTCGCCTCGGAGCGAGGCGGCGGGGGCCAACGATAGGCGGGGGGAGCGGGCTAGGCTGGGGGGGAGGGGCACAATCGACTCCTGCGTTCGGGGAGATGCCGCCGATGGCCTGGCGATAAGCCCCCCATCAGCGAGATCGCACGGTCCCGGGCGGGTTGGGCTATCGGGCCCCCATCGGCGATGAATGGGCGATTGGGGGTCGATGTCTTTCCCCCGAGCCTATCCCCGTCCTAGCGGTCCCCCTGATCCTGCTGTGGAACGAGGCGAGGTTATGAGGCGACTCCTGGGAAGTCTTCGTAAGAACGATTGAGAGCGATTGAGCACGATTACGGGGCCATTCGCAGCCAATGTTGGCCGAATTGTGCGGGGGATCGAGCCCAACAGAGCGGGAGCTCGCTGGATTGAGCGGGACTGTGCTGGATCATAACGATTTCGACAACGGATATACCAGC